GGGTGTATGAGTGAGATAAATCAAAGTATGTATGAGGTGTTCCGTGTGTGTGTGTGTGTGTGTGTGTGTGTGTGTGTGTAAGAGATGTTCCGGGGGAGGTGCTTAGGGTAACAGAAAGCTGTTGAGGGTGTGTGTGTGTGTGTGTACATGTATGTGTGTGCATGTGTGTCTGTATAAGAGATGTTCAGAATGTGTGTGCGCGCGCTCGCGCTTTGCTCTGGTTCCCTCCACTGACCGCCCTGTAGGTGAGTACTGAGCACCACAAACAGCTGTCTGCAAGGTCAGAGGCAAAGGGAAACCAAGTTACTATGGCCACCCAGGAGAGAACGACCACCTGATGCTTCTTCAAAGAGGTTGGCCTTCAAGGGACAGCCCAGCTTGTGGAGGCTCCCTGGTCACGCTGGCTGGTCGGGGCCCTCAGGAGACAGCCACTGAGCTCCAGATCTGACACCTCCAGGGACCAGGTACGGAACTCCAGCAGGTAACCAGACAAGGAAGCCTTAATTAAATAACAGGTGGCAAGGGCATGATAGCAATGTGATGGTGAAGGGGCAGTAACTGTGACTGTGGGGACAGCTACCTGGGGCCTGGAACCAGATGTGCTAAGCTTGGGTGAGGTGGTCCCGCTCGACACAGGACCAACAAGAATCCAGCGCTTGCAGCGCTCAACCATACGTCCAGGGGCGACTGCCCTTCCCTCTGAAGGGTAATTTGCCACCGTCAGAAACAAATCAGGGCCCAGCTGAGTGTCTGCCCAAGCCCCAAATATCAGGAGCTGGGCATGGGCGAAGGAGGGCTCTGGGAGCCCGCGGAGGGGTCGGTCTAACGCACTGCGGAGGCCCAGGGCGGGGCGGTGATCGCTACAACAATTTTGGCCTGGCCCGAATCCACAGGAAGGTGAACTCAGGATGTGAAGGACACCCGTGGGTATGTGCTGGGCAGAGGCGGCTGCTGCTGCTGGAGACCGCCACCACGTGGACACCTGCCCTGAGCTTCAACGCCCCGGGGGCCTCTGGGAGGTGGACGTGACACCTGCCGTGACCACGCCTGAACATGCGTAGTACGGTTTGGATCGGATGGGTCTGCGGTTCGCCCTCCCCACCTCCCACCTCCGCGGCCGGGGCGTGAGAGCAGCCAGCCCTGGGAGGGTGGACCGATGCCCAGAGGTCCGGGTGTGGCTGGGAGGCTGCAGGGGTCCGAACCCTTGGAAGCTGGGCGCTCACGCCACCCGAGGGTACCCGGAGGCGCCCCAGCGGCACTGTGGGTTACGAGTTGGGCTGCTCACACAGGTCAGCAGTTCGAAGCCACCAGTTAACACGAGAAAGATGGGAGTGGCAGTCTTGGGCACCCGCGGGGCTGATGCGACCCTGTCCTGCAGGCCGCGGGGTCGGAACGGGCTCGATGGCAGGGGTCTTGTTCTGAAGATAACGGAGCTCGGGCAGAGCGCCTTGGTGCGTCCTAAAGGAGACTGAACCGCCGTGCAGAAACACCCCCCGGGGGTGCGGCAGCGTTTATTATTGAAAACGTAGACTGGGGAGACACAAGCTTGCTACTACAGGACTATCACTGCAGCATCCTGTTCTGTTACATGTGCACGCTCTTCTCTCCTTCAGGCCGGAGCTGAAGACGTGCGGGCAGCGAGCCCCGAACAGTCCCCACGGCCGCCCCTATGCGCGCTAGGCCCAGCTCACCGGACCCGTGGCATCGGGTGACCATCCTCAGCGGGGTCGCGGCGGACCCCGCCGGCCACTGCGGGACTTCCGCGGGCCCCGCGCTCGCGCCGGGTCAGAAAGAAACTCGCACGCCGCTAAAGTGAACAGGCCAAAATTTTATTGGAGATTTACTTGCTACCGTTATTACAAAAAAATTTAAAAGTGGAATAAAAGAAACGAACAAAGGAAAAACCCGGTCGTTCGCGATCCGCAGCGAGCACCGGCTGGACGGGTGCCGTCGTGGCGGCACGTGGCGGGCGCACGTCAGTCAGCCGCCGCTGCTGGTCACGTGGACGCGACTCTAGTCCCTCCCCTCCCCTCCGGACAGCAGGGAGGCCAGGCACCTATCTCACTTCCGGTCCATCGGTGCGCTTCCGGCCGGGAATCCCCAATCCTCGGTGTCCACAGAAGAGTGGGCAGGGCGGGGGCGGGGGTGGGGGTTTACAATCTATTTACAGGCTCTGAGAGGTCATTTTCGAGGCCAAGGATCACGCGTCGGCAGCCTCCATTGTAGATTCTCTGGGTATTGCTACTGGCGTCACCCACCACTTTCCACATTCGGGGGTCTTGGACACACATACCTTAACCTTTCGTCAACAATCTAACATAAAGACGGCTGCTTGGAAATCATGCGATTCCAGAAAAACAATCAGTGGTTGAACAAAAGCAAACACACACGAAAAGAGGACGTGTTGGGATGTAGTCAGCATGGCCGTCGAGGTACTGACCGGGAACCTGAATTTCTCTTCCGCAGACGTGACACACCGGTAAAGGGGGGAACTTCGGACCAGGTTGGCAGAGCCATCGAGGTTGGGTGGCCTAGGTTCTGTCCACGAAGGTCGGATGCCCAAACAGAAGAGTGTTTCAAATCAAATGGGGGCCTGGGGTGGGAGTGCTTCAGGCTGACTGCACGGTGCGGGGGAGAGCACGGGCCTGGAAGTGGCACCCACTCTGCCCTCGGGGGACACTGCCCAATTTCAAGTAAGGGCAGAGCAAGTGAAGTGCTGGCACGCGAGGGAAGTGTGGCAGGGCACTCTGACCACCCGCAGCCAGAGGGGCCCACCCGAGCCTCGCATGGTTTGGGGAGGGCACAGGGCTGAGCCTTTCTGAGAAGCTGTCACTCAGAGTCCAAATCGTAATGCTTTCCAAGGTAATTACAGGTGTGCTGGAGATCATTCTAAACTCAGTCATGGTGCATAACGTCAAGGGAGAGGTAAAATGCAACAAACATTTTAAACATTTGATTCAGAGTTCGGTTAACACACCGGCTGCACGCCCACAGTCCAAATGCCACCGGCCGACAAATGACCTATGCAGGTTGTGCAAGTAGCGACACACAGGGCGCACAGCTGATTCTCTTCAAATCGGGGGTGTCGAGGCAGCAGCCAGGTCTGGCCGCTCCTCCCCCCCGCTGTGAAGCATCTTTTTCCGGGAAGTGAGGTAAGGCGTGCTACCAGGTGCGGTGTGTGCCTGTGCTCTGTGGTGAGAACGGGGAGGGGCCCACAAAAGGCCGCTGGCGTCGGGCTGCGCAGAGTCCGTCGCCACCCCCGGGGGGGACTGGGCGCTGCTCGGTCAGGATGCGCGGGATGCTTCGAGCACGGGCCCTGGCTCACCTTACATCCCGCCCCACGCGGCGGTCACCGAGCACAAGGGCTGAAGCAAGGCCACAGAGGAGGGCTTGGTTTTGTGCCTAATTCACAATGCAAACCACTTCAAGCTACACGCGGAGGGAAAAGCAAAACTCGACACGTTCCAAATGAGCAGCACAGAGCATCGTCCACTCCGGATTCCGC